AACACCTACTGCTTTTGGATAGATTATTTCTCACATTTTCGAACAATGTATTTTAAATTATCAGACACATAAAACTCGCATAAGCGGATAATTACTGCCAAATTAGCATAATTGACCTTAATTGAGATAATTTTGAAAAATCGTTTTTATTCCTATTTTGAAAAACGGTTCTACTTCAACAATTCACAGTATGGTTTTCGAAGAAATAGATCAACTACCCAAGCGGCTTTCAAACTAGTGTCGAACATAGTCGACATTTGATTGTGTATCGCATAGTTTTTTGATTGACAAAATGAGCTACTATGGTGTCCGGGGCACTGCTCTCAAGCTCGTCCAATCTTATTTAACAAATCGGTGCCAATTTGTTGGAGTGAACAACGTAAAGTCAGACCTCAAAAAAATGAAGCATGGTGTTCCCCAGGTATCCGTTTTAGGTCCACTATGACCTATGCAGTCTCATGAAATCAGCAGGATGTATCTTGTTTGCAGATGATACAACTTTAATGTGCTCTAGTAAAAACTTAACTAGCTTACAACTAATGATGGAAGATAGCAAAACATTAGCTTACAATTGGTTTGCTGCTAACAAACTTACCATGAAAAAGATAAAACTCAAAATATAATCGTAACTTCTAATCGCAATATTCTTCAATCTAAAAGTGTCAAGTTTTTAGGATTCACTATTGATCATGGATTGAGCTGGTCTGATCATATCAAAGTTTTGTTCAGCAAACTTTCTATTGTTTTGTTCGTTTTGAGGCGGATTATTTCTCTCAGTTATTTCTTATGGTATTTTCATTTGGGGTCATTCAAGTAACTCGTTAAGTGTGTTTAGGTGCCAGAAAGAGACCATAAGAATTCTAGCTAAAGCAGGTTACAAAGATCATTGTCGTCATCTTTTTATTCAACTCGGCATTATGCCACTTCCAACACTGTATGTCTATAAAGTGTCACTGGAGATCCATGAAAATGTTGACAAATTTGAAAGACACGGTGAAAATCATGCATATGAAACGAGGTCCGCAAATTTATTGAACCTGTCTAGACATAATCTGACTATCAGTCAAAGAAATTCACTGAACTTAAATCTTTATAATCATCTTCATTCATCTGTGAAGTCACTCAACCTCATGAATCAACTACGTAAAATAAAAGCGCTACTCTGGTGAAAAAGGTTGGACATGGTTGCGTATAATGCATGCATCAAATCGGCGGAAGCTCGTCAGATGTCTATCGCACACCTTACGTAGGCCATGTTTGGCTTATTTCCATAATCGAAACGGTATAATAGAGGTCAACATTTTCATACCAACCTCCATTATTATTCCGATGGGAATAAAAACGGAAATAACAACGTAGCATGTGGGTGTGACCGTCAATAGTTCGAATCTGTACGTGTGAATCTAATACACAGTATAGATTCAACCGATCTTCCAACGTATCGATAACGTTCAACCACCGAAGGCCTATTATCGCGGTGCCGCTGTCCTTTGAAGAATCACCCTCAATTCCTTCATCCTGCACCAGCTTCTCATCTTCTCCAGCATCGTCATCAGCTTCCACACCCACCATGGCTCCAACGTTCACTTCTTCACCGACGATGATCTCATTAGCAACTTCAGGAACCTCTTCTCCCTCATCATCGGACCAATTTTCAACATCAACAAGTGTTAGTCTTGATAATACGGCGTCGTATTTTTCAGCGTTTATTTTTTATATATTCGTGTAGATACTACTATAGATACTAAGTGAAATTCCTCACTCTAGGTATTCATAAGAGGAAATCGAGGATATGACAACACAGTCAAATTCATCTGTTAAATATTTCTACATCTAACAGTGATTACACAAATATACATTTTCCAAAAGAATGGGGTTCAAAGCCGAAAGTATGCAGCTTTCCCATCAAAATTGAGAAAAATATAATGTGTTACAATTGCCGCCATGGCAATTAACAAAGAGACTGAAGTTATGCTCAATGCCTTCAATCTAAAGTATTGAAATTTACCAACCAGCGGGTCTTGGCATCAGGATAATCCTGAGAACTTTGACCAAAAAATGTAAAAATGAATTTGGCTTTGGTTAAATCCACTTCACGAGTAATGTCTTATGTGAATTGCTCAGTGACACATTTTCGATACCGTGATTTGAAAGAAGTATTACTTTCCCCATCCAATAAAACTACTTGGATGGATTTACCATATCGTGTAGAAAGTATAAACATATTTTCAATTTTATAACCTTTATCAATAACCAATGATGTTATTGGTCTCTTTTTCATTGTCAAATTTCAAAATATCCATTTACAAAAAATAATGAAATTATGGTTTAAAAATATAAAATATGTTCACCTCTATGACGATGGTGATGTAAAGTTTACTTCTTGGATTGGTAGATACTTTTTGCTATCACCTAAACTGAATGTGAAAGTATGAAACTGCGAGCTTATTTAGGAATAATCGAGAAGGATGGAGCACAAGGTTACACTTTCTATACATTCAAGGTCATATGATGTGGCCTAATCTCAAGGATATGCACAAAGGACATCATGAAACTACGAGCTTATTTGGGAATTATCAAGAAGGGGGGGAGTTCAAAGTTACACCTTCTATACATTCAAGGGTCATATGATGTAGCCCAAGCTCAAAATCATGCATAAAGGACAGAGGCCTTGTGTCTTGTATAAATGTCTGTCGAATATAATTCTATGTCCATTGCGGAAAATAAAAAATCGTTTAAACACCTCGGAAAGAAGAGAAATTAACAAAAAGTACGTTTTTTTAACTTCAATTATTTTTGTAAAAAGCTATTATTGAGCGCCAAAAAAATACTCTCTAAAAGTCGTAGCTAGTTATCCAAAAAATTAGGAAAAAACTGAAGATAGCCAGACGAAACAAACGCTAGATGAAACTGGTATCGATTACACAAGGGAAGAAATTTCAATTGCTTTTTTGTTGCGTGGAATTTCATGGCTATTTACTAATTCAAGGTCGATGATTTCAAATCTGCCCTGCTCTTTTCCCAACAGCTCTAGTTTTTGTGATACAGCTATTATCCACATTTGTGTACTAGTTCTTTCATTCTTTTACAAATTCATTTTTTGTACAATGTCTACATTTACCCAACTTCGAGCTGAGCATACTCGACGGTTCGCAGGTGACAAAGATTTCATTGTATGTGACGCCATTCAGTTGTTTGTGGGATAAGAAATTCAGAATGAAGATTTAGTTCACTGGAGACGGTAATTCATATATAATCCTAAATATTTTTAGGCCATTTGATACAATATGAACTTCCCGTTTCAACAATATAACACATGAGATAATTTCTGTTTAAAATGGCGGCATAGATACAATTACTCCAAATTCAATAAAGCAGTCACTATGACGTCATGTATGTAAATATTTTCAAACAACATGATGTAGTGAGAAACAAAAGTTGAAATTTAAAATTTTTCACCAATTCACATAGGTACTTTTCATTATTTTTCAAAATGCTATTTTTTACTTCATTTATCTCGAAAATCTTAATAGACAGTGGTAGTTTTTAAACCTCAAAATTGAATCACACCTCAAATATACTATGTGGTTAATTTTTCTTTTCTAACTGAAAAGTAAGTATGTAGTTATTAAATCATAATGAGAAACTTTCCCCTTTTCAATTACACAGACAGATGAACAGTATAGTATATTTCTGTATTACAAGTATTGAACTGCAGTCGTAAAGTTAAAATGATATTACCTCCTTTTGAGATTTGCCAGTCATAATGATCTCCTGAGGACGCTAACTTGGTTAGCGAAACGCGCTTCGAGAGACCATAATTTTTGTTCTGGTGTTGGGAAAGTATTTTCAATAGATTAATTTTACGCCAGAGGTTACAGTACGAACTATAAAATATTTGAAAAAGTTGAAAAAAATTATTCCAGGCTTCTATATCAAGAGCCATAACAGTTTTACCAAAACACAACACGTGTTTCGCCATACAATGGCCCGAAGAAGCCATTGTGTCTTTACTCACGTATGTATGTATTTAAAAGCGTTTAGTGAGAATCTTACAATGAAGTGTTTTTTGAATACGTTAGTTATGGATTTTCATCAAGTATTGGCCAATTCCATCATATATAAACAGTTTCAATTCATTCTGTACTAAACTTCTGAAAATCCCTATGATTTATTCGAAATCTCTCGAAATTACATAACATTTCTGTGAAAACCTCAGTAATCTGTCAAAATCGTATGGGATTTTTACGAAATCCTTGGAAATCCCCCGAAATCATAAGTTCGTTATTTAACGAGTAGGCATCCCCTCAAGCAATACTCTTCTCAACGAATGTTTCACCAAATAAGTTGGCATATTGACGTCTTTATCTCCTGAAGACGCCAACTTTGTTGGTGTTTTGTACGGAAATGTTTTGTTGAAAATAAATAGTAGATATGGATGAAAATCTGTTAGTGGATCATCAGATCATCACAATTTAAACAGATATAATCCTAAATACTGAGGGTAGAATCATGCATCCAGTTTTAAGTCATATGCTGTGAATTTTAGGTTTCAGGAATTAATATTTTTCATTCATTGGTACTGAAAACTTACACGTTCACAAGATATTATAAGTGTGTATAAGAAATATCTATGCTTCTGCATGAATGTTTCCACTGAAAATATATGTTCAACTGTTCACCATGTCTCACTTCTCATGACTTGTGACTGGGTTCATGAATTGACCCTTATCCCAATCTTCTTGTCTCCAGAAATCTTTTATATGTAAAATCCAAAAATTCATATTCAAGAGACACTAGGTATTGTGATGAATAGTTGAGTAATGAACTTTTGTGTCTTTCAATATAACAACATATCAAAAAAAGTGAGTTTAATTAAAGAAGATATACAAAAATCCTGCCCAGAGTTAAAAGATCAAAGATTTTTAGAAAATGAGATTTAGGAAGTTTTATTTTACAATCAATAACAAAAACAATGGAAATAATGAAAAATGTCTTACCTCATCATTATTACTCCTCTTATAAGAATAAATAGCCTGTACTACCAAGGGTTCATTGGCCATGCTGATTCCATTAATAACTGCAATTAAACCACAAAACTTGTAACTAGTCCAAATGAAAACTTTAATTGATGAAAATTGAATACTCTTGATGATGTATTGAAAAACTTATTTGAAGTTCACTCAATAAGACCATGATATGCTTGAGAAATAACTTTTGACTACTGTCACATTCACATTCTTGGCAAATGCTGGGCAACTGTTAATTCTGGCAGCAAGCCAGAAATATAATGCATTATAACTGAATTAATATAGCTCTCGCTGAAATTCAAAAATATATTTCCTCGTTATTGGATTCTTCGTTTAGCTATCAACTTATTGAGCGATTCTTTACAATTTCTAGACCTACTTATGAATTTTCTATAAGCGTTTCAAAAATGATGAAATTTGAGAATAAATAAATTCTTTGATGTGTCATTCTTACATGGCTCAGATCTATTGAAAATTGTGTAAATATGCTAGATTATACTAGCTATTTACGTTTATTTATCATAAACAAATTCTGAAGTTTATAATTTTTATGACTAAATACTCACATTAATAATTTCATGAAATTACCATATTTGAAATAAGTAAAGTATTCACTTCGTACTATTGAATTGAAGGTAATTATGATAAGATACGGTGATCTAAAATGTTGATCATATCAAAAATAGATTAATAAAAATATAACCTATAAATGGGACAATAAATAAACAATGATCACAGACACGCTTTTCGCAAGGTGGCGATGCAAAACTCTGGGATTACATAAATTTCAATTTTGTATAGAAAAAACAATACGATACAGGCTCGTTCATGCTTATCCCAATATTTGCATTTTACTTCCAAATCGCAAAATAATCATTGCATCGAGCGTTCATACTTTTACAGCATCATTCTCTTGCGAATATTTTGTTGTCAGCTGTCAATTTCTTTCAATAATAAAAAATCACAACTCAAAACTGGTTTTGTGATTTGTTAACGATGAAAAACATATATCGAATAAAAAGGGGTTGTAGACAAGTTTGATAAAATAAAAAAATGATTCAGCATGTCTACCCTAGAGTTACCGCTAGCTTGTTTGATAAAGGTATGGGTTCTGTAACATTGAACGACTCTATTAAACCCGGACACACCATCAGCAGCGATCCGTCAAGTTGAGAGGAAGATACAAGAGAATAGTTGAAGTGTAACCTCAAATGGAACTGCTCGAGCAACAAATATAAGTTTACATTGATTTTACTATTAATCTACTATTAAGGTTTTTGCGTTGAAATATACCACATTAAGCCATATTACAGAAAGACCATCTATTATTATTATTTATTATATTTGTTATGATGATATAACCACATCTCCATGATTCTATGATTTATAAAAAGTTTACGATTACTAAACCTTCTGTTATTTTCTATGAAAACTTTCGCAAGTTTAGTCGTTTTGTTCGCGAAATTTGGACAAGCATGGCTACGCCTTGTATCTCGTTTGTAATTACAATGGTAATTACTGTGGATTCCGTAGTTTTCTCAGATAAAACTCATATTTTCAGTTGAATCTCTGCTTTCTAGAAATCAATAGATTGGATAATTATAGGGAATTTTATTTCTCGAAGAGTAATATCTTTTCTTTTGAAATGTTTACTAAACCCACATGAATTTGCTGGTCATTACACCTAGAAATCATATTCAGAAAGAAAGTGTTTTTTCTTCATCCATGTATAGAGTTACTTATTTTCAAATTGATTAATCCTTCCTTTCTTTGGAAGATTCTCTCATCCATTTTTTTGTATCAGATGGAGTAGTAGAAAGCCAAAAACTTTCTTTCCCGAAAAATTAATCACTCCTAAAAATATAACCCTTTCAAATTCATATATATATTTTTCATTACAATCAACTGATCAGCTGAAAATTATATCACCTGAACACTTGTATATTAGCACCATATCAGTATTTTTTTTGTATTTTTGCATTATAATTTGAATCCTTATACATATTTCAATTATACTGTTTTTTGTAAATCTACATGAAAAATGTTCTGTGATATTATTGAATGATCATGGTTGACAATGTTTTTTGTCGTATATGTTCGAGATTTGGATTTCAATTATTATTAATAAATGTAGAGTCTGAGATTACAGAAATGAACAAGGTATTGAAAATACAAATGGAAAGTACTGCACATCAAAGTGAGTTTATAGAAAAAAAAGAAGTAAAGAAGTGATATTTGGAAAATGAATAAAATTATATCTCACAACATTAGTTTGAAATTATTATTTATCATTGCATATCATTTTTAAAAGACGCGAATGAAAAAAGTTAGGGTGGCAGCATTGCCTACCGCTAAGCCCCCGGACGAGGCTTCTGTTCACTGTGGACAGGAGGAACTTGGCCGAATGCGATCGAATGGCAAGGCCATAGAAATTAGAAAATTTAGGAGGGGGAGTTTTTTAGTTTCAGTTTTAGTAATCTGTGGTTTTAGTTAGAGTTGTTATTGTTATTGTTGATTTTGTATTTGTTCTGTTTTCAGATATTATTTTTCCAATTAGTGCGAGCGATAAAAAATAAGATGGCCGCTCCAATGGAACGCATTCAAGTTCTCGATTCTATAGAAAAAGATATAATAACTTGCTTACATAGTGCTGGTAAGTTTCACAATAAAGAAATGAAAACTGTTCATAACTTAACTTTTGTTATAGGTCAAGTCTTTGTAGAGCTGAGTAAAGAGAAATCAAGCCTCAAACAAGCTGAAAACCATACTCAAATGTTTTTGAAAACACTCAGTACAGTGGAAAATAAACTCACAGATCAAATAAATTATCTTACACAAGTATCTACTGGACAACCACATGAGGGGTCAGGCTATGCTTCTCAGAAGGTGTTTCAAATGGCCAAGCATAGACTAGACCATGCAAGGTCTATGGTGAATGAGTTAGAAAGGTACAAAATCAAACATCTCCAAGGGAGAAATTTACAGATACAGCCAGGAGGTGCTCAAATGGCCAATGTGGGTGATTCTAATATTCATCCGGGTTCATCCACTTAATTTGCCTGCAGATGTAATTTCAAGGTTAAAATTTTGTAAGCTATCCTGAAATACATTGTAGACAGGTTAATTTCACTTACTAATTAGTTT